TCCTCTTCTTCTTCTTCTTCTTCTTCGTCTTCTTCCTCTTCTTCCTCTTCGTCTTCTTCATCTTCTTCGTCTTCTTCGACTTCTTCTCCTTCTCCTTCTCCTTCTCCTTCTCCTTCTTCTCCTTCTCCTTCTTCTCCTTCTTCTCCTCCTCCTCCTTCTTCTTCCTCTTCCTCTTCCTCCTCTTCCTCCTCTTCCTCCTCTTCCTCCTCCTCCTCCTCCTCCTCTTCTTCTTCTTCTTCTTCTTCTTCTTCTTCTTCTTCTTCTTCTTCTTCTTCTTCTTCTTCTTCTTCTTCTTCTTCTTCTTCTTCTTCTTCTTCTTCTTCTTCTCCTCCTCCTCCTCCTCCTCCTCCTTCAACTCCCAGAAATCCTGGCCAGCACAGCTAGTGGTTAAGCCATTGGGGAGTTCTAGTCCAAGAGCTGCCCCTACCATCAGGAAGAGTGAGGCATTTGCCTCAAGGACCAAATTTTGAAATGGTGTGAAAAGGCAGCCAATTGCTCTTCATGTCTCTAATTCTTGCCATATTTCTACCACCAGGGGTGGGGAGAGGTACGTGTGGGACTTTCTGACCTATGTGCTAAAATGACTTAGCTGACTCTTGCCGCTGCGTATCTGATATTGGCATAGAAGGACTGCCATTTTTTGGTGTGCCTCTGGTAGCAAAATGGCTTGGGATAGGGAGCAGAGCTAGAAGTCTCTTGTTGGCTTGTGCCTTGGCATGACACTGATTATCATAGGTTTTTGTTGTTGTTTAGTCATTTAGTCGTGTCCAACTCTTCGTGACCCCATGGACCACAGCATTCCAGGCCCTCCTGTCTTCCACTGCCTCCTGGTGTTGGGTCAAATTCATGTTGGTCGCCTCAGTGACCCCGTCCAACCATCTCCTCCTTTGTCATTCCCTTCTCCTCTTGCCTTCACACTTTCCCAACATCACGGTCTTTTCCAGGGAGTCTTCTCTTCTCATGAGATGGCCAAAGTATTGGAGCCTCAGCTTCAGGATCTGTCTTTCCAGTGAGCACGCAGGGTTGATTTCCTTCAGAATGGATAGCTTTGTTCTCTTTGCAGTCCAGGGGACTCTCAAGAGCCTCCTCCAGCACCACAGTTCAAAAGCATCCATTCTTCGGCAGTCAGCCTTCTTTATGGTCCAGCTCTCACTTCGATACATCGCTACTGGAAAAACCATAGCTTTGACTATGCGGTCCTTTGTCGGCAAGGTGATGTCATAGGTTTTAGACACCTCTAAGATGAAGCCGTTCTTCAAAGGTGGGCGTAATTACTGTAAGGTATAAAACATGGAACATATAAGCTTAGAAGCTTTTGCCCACTTAGAATGACTACTTTCCTTGAACAATTAACAACTTCCTCATCTTACCCTCATTAAGGACAATACAATTTTCATAGTGACACAAGGCAATGGCAGATGTCCTGGCTTCAGGATCACTTTGATGTGGCATATCAATGCTCCAAGATAGGTAATCCACCCACAGTCTCCTTCCTTGCTGTTTCCCTGAGTCAAAAAGACCACTTAAATGTACATGTTCCTGCATCTGCTCTGCTTATAGATCAAAACTTGAGTGTGAGGTTGTCGATGGGACCATGAATACTTTAAGAGTTATGGTTAGGCAAGGCTATTTTGCATTTTTCATACCATGAGACCACACTGATCTTATCTATTTTTGGAAGCTAAACAGGGTTGGGTTTGGGCGTGAGTTGGAGAGAAGGCTAACATTGAACATCAGGGGTCTCCACGCATGAAGCCCTGGTACACCACTGTTGTCAGTCAGATTTGGTGACAGTGGATTTGATGGGCTCAGTATAAGGCTGTGCCCTGTCTTTCTAACCATTCCACCAGAACCTCTCCATCAAATGGTACAACCACGAAACATGACAGCCTGTGTTCCCATTAAAAAGAACACATCTTCAATGTCTTGGAGGATCTGTCTTGAAGCTGTTCCTGCTGCTCTCGCAGTAAAAAGGATATGGAAGCAATTTGGAATATGTGAGTAACGACAGTGCCCTAGTGTTCACTTGTGTCCAGGCCTCTGCAGGCAACATCTGCAGGCCATGATGTCAGATCTGGCTCCCAGCGGCGAGAGGGCTTGTCACTTAAGATGAGGATAGGACAGAAACCTCCCACGGTATTTCGGATGTTTGAGCCTGTGGTTTCTGCCTTTTCCCTGCTGGTCATGACCTCAAGCTTTTACGGGTATGTGATGAGAGGACAGTAACTGTAAGAACGTAGCTAACCTCAAGAATTCTGACTGGAAAGGTGAAACCGTATGCTCTCAAAGTCTGTTCACTGAGGTTTACAGCATCACACGCCCAAATCCGTGCAGGCATACTGTTGAGTTTTTATGTATCTGTCAGAAGACTGGAAGGTCTATCAGCTGCACCTTGTCAGAAGCTCCCATTGGGACAGGGGGTGGTTTTCCAACTTTGAAAACAAAACCATCTCGCTTCCGTTTTTCGGCGCTGTGAATGTTCATTCCTCTGCCTAGTTCTTTAAGTGGTTTCCCATCTCCTCTCTCTGCACTGCATCCTTGATCATCCTTTTCCCCTCTCCTCCTCCTTATGCTGGGGAAAAATCTGTTTTTTTTGCCAGCCTGGCCGAGGGCAGTTGTGTCATCAGAGAGTAGCAATCTCCTTGAATTATTTCACACAAGTAAATCTGGCTGATTAGAGAATAATAGATTTGCCATTCAGGCTGATCCCACGTGGGGGATATCAACCTAAGCAGTTTGAAGTGTAGATATGAAGTGGGAGTGAAACGGAGAAGAGGCTTCCGCCCACATGCACTAGAGAATTGTGGTTGGCTATCCTGGGTATATGCTTGGATCAAAGCCAGGTTATGTCTCTCTGTAAGGCAGTTGTAGGTAGTTTTTCTTCTTCTTCAGAACAAATTTTGGTCACATCTGGGTCCATAAGGAGAGGACCGAGGAGGACCATGGGGTGGGAAGATGCCCCATGGATCTGCAGAGTTTGATCTTTGATGCTCCAATCAGTCAAATGCTGCCAGCTAATTGACTGGCTCTGTGTTCCCTGATGGCCCGCTGGCTTTCTTGGAAAGGAAGAAACAGGAATCCTTCCCTTTCAGGTTGCTGGTTCATTGCCTGAGCAAGGATGCTTTTTGCCAGTTCTTGCTAGTTATCTGGCGTGACCTCTCTGTTGGAGTCCATTGGCAGCAATCCCTGGCTTGATCCCCTTGGCTCCTGGCAGAACCTCTTTTTCCTAGCTGTCACTCGACCTCCATCCGTGGTTCAGCACCAACATGTTTTCATCATGACCTGGCTCTTTTCAGTAGATCTGAGCATGCTGGATTTGTCTCGTGAATGGGTTCAGCTCAATCATGGCACTCACCAAATGGGGAAAAGTTTTCAGGCTATGGGCTTGTTTGCGTTGTGACCTGGATGAAGGGGTGTCAATCTGTGACCATTTGCAGCTGAAAAACTGCAGTGTTTTTCATCATGCCAGCAAATTGGTAAGAATTTCCTTCTGCTTTTGGTAGATTGTGTGAGAAAGATGTTTTGCACAGAATCTCCATGTGGAATTGTAGAACCGGACAGACTGCACAGATTGCAAGATTGCCCCCAACTAGAATGACTGCTGCTTTGAAGCACAGGATGTGTTGTTCGCATCTTTTAAAATAATCAGCCACTTGGACATCACGAGCATTTTGCCTGAAGTTTAAAGATCTCGAGTATAAAAGTGTGTGCTGTGTCTCCCCTTTGGTTGGAGGTCAGGAATCTTACAGGGCTTTAAAATTCCTCATCAAAGTACCTTCTGAGACATCCTAAATTGATAAGAACCAGGAATTCAGTTTACGTTCGTTGCATTCCTTCCTAGACATTCCTTAAGCTTTTCTACAGGCTGGTTGGGTACAAGAGCTATTCCACTGTTGGGGAAAAAAGGAGGAAGTGAGAAGGGGAAAATGGGTAGAGTAAAAGTGTCAGGAATGTTCTTTGATCAGACCCCCCACTCCCCAAAGAAGGAGTGAGAGCAAGAGCCAGTTGCAATATCCATGAACTTTAATGGCATTGTTTAGATCTAAGTAAATTTAGCCCAGTGAAAAGTGGGTTGTTTTGTTTGGAGTCTACGAAGGAGTCTTTTGTCTCTACTCTACCTTGCTCAAATTTCCAAATGTAGGTGATGGATTCATCGTCCCCCTTGTGCTGCATGTTATGCAAAGAGAGCCTTGTTGACTATTCATTTCTTTCTAACTGGAAGGTGGACTCTGCATTGGTCAGTGGAAATTCTTCAGTGCAGAAATAACCATGTAGGAATAAATTTGCTACACAGACGTATATCTCATAACATGGGGTCATAAGAATTGGAGGGGGGCATGTAAATCATCTGGTCTAATCCCTACCTATGCAGAAGAACCAGGCCTGAAGATCCTCAGTTGTCTAGTTTCTGCTTGAAGTCCTCCAGCACAAAACGTAGGCTATCAGGCTGGTTCTTACCAGCAAGAAAGCTCTCTTAAAATTAAGTCAATATTGACTCATCTGGAAATGGCAGGGCTCCTATGGATCATCAAGTCCGACCCCTGTCAAGGAGGGATGGGGTCTCTGTGTGTGGAATCGAACTCCCAGCCTCGCAGCCTAAGCCCCTGAGCCGTCCAGCAGTTTATCTTTGACTACAACTTCCAGAATTCCACAGCCATTGGCCTAAATGAATAACATGGATAGATAAAATGGTAGTTCCTTTGAATGTCAGTATCCGGATCAAAAATCAGCTTAAGTGAAGTTGGTCACCTTAAAAATAGCCCCCCCCTTCTTGCCATGACCAAAAACCATAAGAGAGAACTTAAAAATCAACATGTTTTGTTTGGCACGAACTCTTTGTGGACTGTAGCCCCAGTGAAGTGGGCTGCCTTCCATGGAAGCTGATGCTAAATAAAGCTGGTCAATCCTTAAGATGCCACAAGGGTCTTTGCTGGCTTTGTGACAACAGACTAACACAGATTTTTTTTGTATACCTGCCTCTATTCTTCTGTTCCTTGCAGGACTTGTGTGGGGCCACCACCTGTGATACTTTGGGAATGGCAGATGTTGGCACCATGTGTGACCCCAAGCGAAGCTGCTCAGTCATTGAAGATGATGGCCTTCCTTCGGCTTTTACCACTGCTCATGAATTAGGTAAGGAACGGCTTTGACGGAAGAGGGCGAATTGATCCGAGGATGTCAATTGCAACTTCATTTTCTGTCACTTTCAGTTTCATAGCCAGGGCTCTACCCTTTGACAAACTGAGGTGGCCAGAAGTTGGTCACCTTAAAAATAGCCCCCCCCTTCTTGCCATGACCAAAAACCATAAGAGAGAACTTAAAAATCAACATGTTTTGTTTGGCACGAACTCTTTGTGGACTGTAGCCCCAGTGAAGTGGGCTGCCTTCCATGGAAGCTGATGCTAAATAAAACTGGTCAATCCTTAAGATGCCGCAAGGGTCTTTGCTGGCTTTGTGACAACAAACTAACACAGATTTTTTTTTGTATACTTCCCTCTATTCTTCTGTTCCTTGCAGGACTTATGTGGGGCCACCACCTGTGACACTTTGGGAATGGCAGATGTTGGCACCATGTGTGACCCCAAGCGAAGCTGCTCAGTCATTGAAGATGATGGCCTTCCTTCGGCTTTTACCACTGCTCATGAATTAGGTAAGGAACGGCTTTGACGGAAGAGGGCGAATTGATCCGAGGATGTCAATTGCAACTTCATTTTCTGTCACTTTCAGTTTCATAGCCAGGGCTCTACCCTTTGACAAACTGAGGTGGCCACCATAAGTGGCAGGTCCACAGAAGCATGGCAAGATCCTGGGGGCTCCTTCTCTGCTCCCATTCCCAAGCTAGTCTGCTGGCCTCAGATGTGGTGGAACAGTCCCATCACTAACGCTGAAGAACAGATTCTGTTACCAGTCTGGTCATAATTTGTATATGGAGTTGGAGAAAATGCCGTATTGTGTTTTACCTCAGTCCCAGGACTGGACCGTAGCTGACCATGTTGGCGGGAGTTTCTGGAAGTATTAGACACAAATAAGTAGCACTTTGAGCTCTGGAAGGACCAAAATGTCTCAGGGCTGTCTGGTATTATTAAGCCTATGATCTATTTATCAAAGTAGTTTCTAGCTTGATTAACAGGACCTTCTTAAGTCGCAGTTATGTTGCTGGAGATCTTTTAAACTGTGCATGCCAGGGACTGAAATTGTGATGAGGCTGGTCCGGGAAATTTTGGTGCTTGAGATAGAAGAAACAATTCCATATTATTCCTTTCCCGTTCTTTATGCAAAAGTCAAATGGACTAAATCTGCCCTCAGCACTGATGATGGGGGAGGTAAAGGTTCCCCTTGACCTTGCAGCACCAGAGGCTTCTGTGGCTTAACCCGCAGCAGCCCCACGTCCTGATGATGGGAGAGCATCCACCAATACAGTACCTTGAGGTGGCAGGCTGGCTCAGAGAAGTGCATGCAGTGGATGCTACTGACTCTGATTTTGTAGCAGTGGAGAATCCATTCTGGATATTAATCTGAATGTTACAGGAACCATCCAAGGTGATGAACACCTGGAATAGCTCCTGTAATGTTCAAACTAAAATCCGGAGCTTCATCCTTGTCTCCTCAAATGCACAGTGTAGCACACAGAGGAAAAAAGAACAACTGCCAACCGCAGAGCTTCGTCATTGTCTCCTCAAATGCACAGTCTAGCACACTGTACATAGGACACTGGTCATTCTTCCCTTTTTGTCCACCTTCTGTTTCTGCTGCTTGAAAGGTGACCACCACACTCTGCCTAATGATAGAGCTGGCACTGACCTGGGACATAAAGCATTCCAAAGGTGCACTTTGTCACTGAGCCATGACCTCAAACCATCAGCTTCTTTTGCCGATTGGATTGAGACAGGGCTTGGGGTGGGTGAGTGAGGGGTCTGTATGTAGCAAAAGCCCTTCTGTGTGTGATGCCCTCCAGATGAATTCATTCACATCACACCCCAAGACAGAGGAAAAAAGAACAACTGCCAACCGCCTCTCTGTTGTTTACTGCTTCTTATCTCCCAGTCGTGAGCGATAACCTGAGACAAACAGCAGATGTAATGCTATCTTGGTATGTCTGCTTTCAGGCCGCTTTCTGCCTGGGACATTTGTTGTGGGTTGTGTAGGCACGTGGCGGAATGGTAGCTTTGTGGTTAGATAGCCCTTCCCCACAACAATGGTCATCTTTTGACCTGTGGTTTTCCACTGCCATCTTGATCATCAATTGGGAACCTCATGAGGTGTGGAACCATGAACTATGTGTGCTCAGATCCTAGAGTTTCCTTTAGACCTTCAATGGCCTAAGGATGCATGGCACTCTTCGAGAGGCAGTATGAGGCCTCTGAGACAGACTGGCGACATAGAAGTACAAGATGCTTGGCCAGCAGTGTAGTACTTCGGCTATATTGCCCAGCTTTGGCTGTTGCTCGACCGTCAGTTCCAGGTCTTGATTATGGAGACTCTGGACGGAAGATGATACCTTTTTAGACGGCTTGTGTTCAGAGCTTTGAAACATGATTTAGACTACAACTCCCAGAATACACCTGCCAGCATGGTTAAGTCTATGTTGACTGGGGAATTCTGGCAAGTTGTAGCTCAGCTGTGCTGATGGCACAGAATAAGACATAAGAAGCCCCTTTCTAACCAGGTCAGACTATTTATCCATCTCGAATGATGCCAACTTTGTGACTCGCCAGAGCCTTCCAGGATCTCTGACACAGAAAAGTCTTTTCCATCCTCTTCTGCCTAATCCAGAAACAACAACAGCAGCAGAAACGCACAACCCAAACGAGATGCCAGGAACCAAACGTCCAAGCGTTCTGTTCTTCTGCATGCAAACCAAGTCCTGGACCACTGCTTCGTACCTTTTCTAGAAGGCTCATCTTCCTTCCTTCTACCTCTATGATTCTCTTGTTCTTTGATCCAGTTCATGATCTTCTAGTTCAGTGGTCCCCAACCTTGGGCCCTGTATAATCAGTAACAAAGAGGGAGAGCACAGACATCCAAAAAGCATGGACCTTCAGAATAATGGCTCTGTGGGAGTCTCCACAGGCTTTTAAACCGGCACTATTGCACAACATCAAATCTCTTGGTGCTCTGTCTCTCTCTTAATAATGCAGTAACAAAGAGGGAGAGCACAGGCCTCCAAAAAGCGTGGACCTTCAGAATAATGGCTCCACAGGCTTTTAAACCGGCACTATTGCACAACATCAAATCTCTTGGTGCTCTGTCTCTCTCTGCTTTAACTTACTGTCTTTCAAATTTTTGCCAGACCATTCTTGGCTTGAAAGTTCACTCCATCCTTCCGTAGCTTTAGAAGCAGCCACTTAGTTCAAGCCGCAGCAAAGAGGCAGGACCCGGGTCTGTGGCTGCCACCCAGGGAGCGGATTTCCACAAGGGCAGGGATGGAGATTGAAACCTTTCCTCTTCTTTCGCTTTGGCTTTTCTTTTTTCGGAAAAAGTTAGAAGGTTGTTTTGATCCATAATTAGGAAGGAGACAAGTGTGATGTTTAAAATAGCTTGGGTTGCTTCATTCAGGAAGTTCAGACAATAGCAAATTTTAAAATAGCTTCCTTCATTCAGGAAGTTCAGACAATAGCAAAGTTTTAAGAATAGCTTTCTGGGTAAACTCTACCAAGTGTGTGTATCTCTCTCTGTGTGTGCTGTGTTTGTGTGAGAAAGGGAGAGCAAGAGAGAGAGAAAATGAGACTGAACTTCATTCCCAGTGCTAGAGAGAGGTTTAACTGGAACTGCTGGAAAACAGCTGTTAAGGAGATGAGCAAGCCCAACCTAGAGACTTCGCTCTTCTTGGCTCTGCTTGTAGCTTCAGTTCCCAAGCTTAAGAGATCCTGAAATAACACGTCGGGGCCGGGATGCATTAGATACACACCTAGATCCGGAAGAGCAGCGTTCCAGATTGTCAACAGGATTTACAGCCAAATTGCTCAGGAAGAGACTCAGGGGCTTTTGATTAGAACCACAACAAATGCTGCATTCATGAATCTGATTGGGAATCCGCCTTGCATCTGGAAATGGGATTACTGTAAATCATATTTCCTCCAGTCAAAATGGGCTGCCCTCGGCTACCTGGGTTTCTAACTTGGGTGACTGGAGCATTGAGGGGTGGCAAACGTTTGCCCATACTAAATAGCCCAGTGAAAACTTTGGTTCTGATACAGTGCCATGCAGTGGAATCAGAGTGCAGAGCTGGTATCAGTGCATCAAGTGGCACATTACTGCATGTGCAAACAATGCCATTTAAAGTAAGGACTGCAAGGCTGGTGCACAGACTTTGTTCTGGTGGTTTTAAAGCTTTTAAAACTTCTTAAATATGTGGTCTTGAGGATAGACTGTGAAGATTGGTTTGGACAGCAGCTGTCTTTCAGAAGACTTAGCACTGTGGTAGGAAAGAGACGAAGTGTGTGTGTCAAGTGTGTAAAAGCATGCACATGTGTGCACACTGGGGTGGTGGTGGTGGTTTTGTTGGATGAAGTAACACCACAACACCACAACAACAAAAAAACAATTCAAAATGCCAGACAAAAGGTTGAGTAACGGTATGATAATCATCATCCAGAGCGCTGCAAGCTTTTCTGGTTCTCCAGAGGGTTATTTTTCTTATGTTATTATGCTGTGTTTAGCTGAGATGCCCAGTGATAAGGGTTGCTGTGGGAGTGTTGAAGTCCTGACGTTACAGCTCAAAGCCTGGCCTTGATATGAATGCTTTGCCCAGCATTAAATGAGATAAAATTTACTTGGAGTTAAATTTCTAACAGGAGGTTAATCAGCTATTCCTAATTTCAGGGGTTCAGAAAATGACCAAATGTTAGAGAAATGGGTAATTGGATGACATCCAAGAAGAGGTTTTCTTTCTCTCTCTCTCTCTCTCTCTCTCTCTGTGTGTGTGTGTGTGTGTGTGTGTGTGTGTGTGTGTGTGTGTGTTTGAATGAGGCAATCATTCTGCTTCCACTCCTGTTTCTTGCTTGATGTCTCAGGTTTCTTTCTCATGCTTTCTGCAAGGACCGGTGTCCACACACAAAGCAGATGGTGTGAATCTTGGCCAGCAAACTGCTGGCTTGCAGTCTCTTGCTGGCAGGAACTGCCTGCATCTGTTGCAACTTCCCCCTCCCCTTGGGGGGCAATCTGATCAGAACAGGAGAAGCAAGCAATTTGTAGAGCCAGGAAGGAGAATTGGAATAAGCAATGTCCTTCCTGCAGACGTTTCCAGAGCTAGTGGACCCACAAACATTAGAAGTGTCTTGGGTCAAATAGGCAAGAAGGATATGCAAGTCTGCCCCACCCAGACCTGCCCCATCCAAAGCATGACATTACTTTTTCCGACTACAGTTCCCATCATCCTACAGCCAGGATAGTCAGTGGCCATTTTGGCTGGGGGATTTGGGGAAATATATATATACACACACACACACTGAAAAAGTAATTTCATGCTTTGGATGGGGCAGACTATATATGTAGCAATTTTTCAATTGCTAAAATATAATGAACGTGGCTTTGGTTTTGTATCCTGCTCAGTGAGTAATTCCAACTTTGGATGTGCTTGGCATCAAAGTACAGTAGTTGAGACAGAGAGGGAAGAAAAGAGGCTTTTTCAGATTCCACTATCATCAGTCCAGATCACCCCTCTCCGTTGGGTGCATTAAAAAAAAAACAAGCAAACTGAAGTCCAAACTAGACTGAATGTTTAGCATGTCATTAGAAGCATTGTATCATCAAGGGGCAAAAGATGTCACTTCATCCTAGCATGAGCTGCCCTCTCCCCATGCAAATTAGCTTTCCTTTTTTTGTGATTGGTCATTGTAAAGTAAACATGAACTATATTTGCCAGTGTGATTGCTCTGAAACAAAGCTTTGAAAGAATTACATGCCTGGAGGGAAAATGTTGCAATAGCGGCAAATACACATTTATTATGACATATAATTTGGGGTGCATAAATAAATAAACCTTTTGCTTGCACACACCCTTTCCTGCCTCCCATGAAATTATGAGAAAACTAGCCAATTTCTGCCCAGTACTAATTAGTGATTGGTCAGTTGCTGTCAAAAATTCTTTTCCTGTGAGTTTAAAATGTTGTCTCTTTTTTAAGGGCACGTATTCAACATGCCCCATGACAATGTGAAGGTCTGTGAAGAGGTCTTTGGGAGACTGAAGACTAACCACATGATGTCACCTACTCTCATCCAGATTGACCGCACCAAACCTTGGTCAGCTTGCAGTGCTGCCATCATCACTGATTTCTTGGACAGCGGACATGGTGAGTAGGGCATTGGGTATATGACAAGAAGATGGGAGGAATGGGAAAAGAAAGGAGATCTTGAACCACGAGGACCGCATGGCTTACATTAGCCGCTATCTACATCACAATGTGCAAAATGAAACAAAACAGGAAAGATCCATCAATCTACAGATCTGTCGATCTACAGTGGTACCTCGCTTGACGAGGATAATTCATTCCGTTCAATTCGCTGTTAAGCGAAATCCTCGTGAAGTGAAATTTAAAAACCCATAGAAATGCATTGAAAACTGATTCAATGCATTCCAAGGGGTGAAATAGCTGCTCGTTTTGCGAAGATCCTCCATAGGGCTGCCATTTTCCCGTGCCTGTAAAGTGAGGAATCTGTCCGAAAGCACAGCGGGGAGCCATTTTGCACAGCAGGCAACCATTTTAGAGCTGCCGATCAGCTGTTTTAAAATCATCGTCTAGCGAAAATTCAGTTCCTGAAGCAGGGAACCGACCATCATTAAGCAATTTTCCCAATAGGAAAAACTTCATCGTAAAGCAGTTTCATTATTCAACGTGGTAATCATTATGCAAGGCACCACTGTATCTATCTACTCTGGGTGCACGTAGCACAGAATGCAAAAGCCTTCTGAATCACAAGGAAGGAATTTATGTGGGTCCTTTTGGAGGCCTGAGAAGTCGCATGGATGTGGCACATCTGGAAGGAAAAGATGAACAATTACACTATAGAAAAGAGTGTCCAGCCTTCCAGATGTTGTAAGACTGGATCTGACATCCCCCCTCACCACAGGGTATGCTGACTGGAGCTGCTGGGAGTTGCAGCCCAAGAATATCTGGAGGGCCACATTTATCCCCTTTTTGTACCACCATGTTAAGATTATTTTATGTTTATTAATTGCTAAGGGAAGAGGCTTATCCTGAACTTTTGACTACTAAAGAGGAATAATCATGGCTGAGACTGGCAGTAAGGAAGAGAAGAGAAACGAAACTCAGCATTTATTAAATTTTAAAATTCACTGTGGTTAGAGCAGAAGAATAGATTTTCAAACTATTTTTTTTTCCGGAGACTCTGTAAAAGTCTTCCGTAAAGGCAGTGTCCAACTAATTCAGAAGAGCAAAAAGAAACATGAATTTTTTTTCAAAGGAGGAGGAAGGAAGGAAGGATAAGAATAGCAATCTGCATACAGATATAGAAAAGGAAAGGGGAATCCCACAGTTGGGTTATCTATCTGCCCATTCTTCCACTCAATGGTGCATATTTTTTAATCACCAGTGTCTGTGTACCATCCCAGCACACAATTTACCCACTGATGAGAAAAATGCAAGTCTGAAATAACTAAAGGAAAATTGGAGGCAGCTGCTACAATGCTTTTCAGAGGGATTCCCCTTGTCTTTATAGCAATGGTGGCTATTTGTAGCCCTTGAGATATTGTTGTACTTCAACCCTCTGCTTCCCGTCAGTGTCCTGGGTGGGCTTAATGGGACTTGGAGTCCACCATCTAGGAGATCTAGACCTTATCAAGGCTTTCACTACAGGCTGTGTCCCACCACGATGAGAAAGGCCTGCTCCCCATCCATACAAATGAATTTATTGTCATTGTAAGTCTATACATAGTATGCACATGCAATGAAATTCACACAGACACCCAGAGACCAGACCCACATGCACACACATTAAAAAAAATCCCCAAACACTCCCCCCACTAAAAATATAACCATCTACACTGTCCAACTGTTCACTACTGGTTGTCTGTGAAAGTTCATCATTATGTGGTATGGGTGTTGTATGTCCAATTGGAAGTCAGAGCCCTCCATTTTAGGATCAGACATTAAAGATTCACAATTTTCTTTGCCTTTTGGGGTGGATTTAGAGATTTTAAAGAGATTAAAAACATGCAACAGCAGGTCTACTGAACTCGTGCTCATTTGCTTTCTTTGTTTAAATCAATGCCATTTTATGACATTTTTAACTATTTCAGTATAAATTTGCAGGGCAGTATACTGCTATAAATTGTAGAACACCATGGCATTGATCCAGATGTAATCTTCCATAGGGGAGACTCACTAAAATCAAGAGGACATAAGGTAGTCATTGATTTCAGTAGGTGTGCATTTAAAGCATGTTGCACTCTGGCTTTAACCTCGTACCAGGAAGCTATTTGAGAGATGAAATGAGTTTTTTCCTGGGATGTTTGAAAACTTGTCAAATTCTACAAAATTATTTTATGAGTGCCACCTCAAACTGTATCCTGGTGTCTGCATGGGGAAGTAGTAGTGCAATGTTTGTGTCTCCCAAATGTTTTCATTTCACTTCTTCTGATCTGCTTGGAACAGCAGCTGATACTCAGTCTCGGCTGGCTTTTGAAAGAAAGCAGTGCCAGATTCTAGTTCGTCTGTCTTGGTGTTGAGTCTCCTTCCCATTTTTTGTCCAGGTGACTGCCTCTTGGACCAACCCACCAAGCCCATTGAGTTGCCGGAAGAGCTTCCTGGCGCCAACTACAACCTCAACCAGCAATGCGAACTGGCATTTGGGATGGGCTCCAAGCCCTGCCCATACATGCAATACTGCACCAAGCTGTGGTGCACGGGGAAGGCGCGAGGCCACATCATGTGCCAGACACGGCACTTTCCCTGGGCTGACGGCACCAGCTGCGGAGAAGGCAGGTTCTGCTTGAAGGGGGTCTGTGTTGAGAAGCATAACATCAGTAAGTACCGGGTGAGTATATGATGGTTCTGTGTTGAGGAGGTAGCTTGGGGAGGGGTCAGTTATATTGGATGAGATCTACACTCGTGCTTGGAAATGCACTAAATGATGTAGAGAAAACCAGCTTAAAAAGGTTTAATTGGCAGCAGCCACCTTGATGTCGTTGGGTGCCATGAAACGCAAAAACAAGGAGAGGACAGAGGAAATGGGGTAGAATGCATGGCTCTGAGCACATAACAGACACACTGGGTCCACAGTGGGCACACCTGTTTTGTGTTTCCTCTGCCTGAGGCCAAGTGGCACTACATATCTGCTCAATGTGGATAGATTCGTGCTTCAAATCCTTGCACCATCTAAATCCCAGCACCTGGAATCAGTGCCTAGATCTACCTCTGGTAGTTGATTTGAGTTGCAATGTCAGAATTATTGAATTGTTGACCATTTTGATTTGGGGGTCAGTGCTGACCCTACCATTAGGCATAGTGAGTCAGTTAGAGGATTGGATAGCAGATGTTAAGGGCAGTAGTGACTAGAGATGGCCATGAACTGCTAGTTCGGTGGTTCATGCCAGGTTGGACAAACAAGTGTTCCACAGTTCAGCGCCCCACCTCCTCGGAAACAGTGCCCCAGCTTCCCTGCCCTGCCTCCTCTGGGTGCAGCCCCTCAGTGGGTGCCAAACAGAGGAGGCAGAGCGCTGAACTGCAGAACACCTGTTTTCTGCATTGTCCGAACTGGCATGAACCATTGAACTGGTGATTTGTGCCCATCTCTAGCAGAGACAGCTTCTGAGCTGTTCCTTCTCAATCCTCTGGATATTGTCTTGAAAAATGAAGCTAGGTATTCCACACAGCTTCTCCGATCCCCTTCAAAACCCATCAGCTGATTGCAAGTGTAGTGCTGAACCCTGTCTTGTTGCCAGTATTGATGTGGGTTCCACTTGTCAGCCCAGTTGATTTCTGTATGTGGAACAAGACTGAGGAGATGCTTGTACCGCACGTCAAGCAACACAATTTCATGAAACATCGCTGACGTGACTTACCTTTTAGAAGTCTTTTATATAAAGGAATGGAAACAGTATTAAATGGAGCAATAAAATTTGACATCTGAGAATGCAGAATTCTGCATTCTGTATGAAGTGCATGCTTGCGTAGAATCAAAGAATTCACAATGAAGGGGTTCCCTAGAGTTAGCAATGCAAGAAACCTGTTCTTTTAGTTCCACCTAGATTTTTGTTTTGTCAACTAATACAATTGCCTGGCAGAGGGAATCCCTAAATGTAGCAGGAACTGGGGCAGTGGGGGCAATCCTGATCCATACCATTGCAGCACAATGTGTGACCTTTAATTCTAGACAACCCCCTTCATTAAAGGAATCTACCAATTCTGCTGAAAACTCTACTCAAAAGCTATGGATTGTGGTCAGGTTTATGACCCGAGGACGAAGGTGTCGAACTGAATCTGGCATTGCTTGCACCAAGTGTAATAGAACAGAAGACTGTATCAATCAAGTTAATCATTTGCATTGAAGCAAATTAAATGCAAATGCCCAGGTGTTTTTTTTAAAAGCCAAGCCAGCAAATATATTTGATTTTATGATTTTATGTAATGGCAACAACCATTGCAACAGGCGTTCCCTCCTGTTTGCACAAAAACAAGACAAGAAAAATAAGGAAGGACACCTCTTAAAATTGCACTTATCATCTGCAGTTTTTTAAAGAACAACAGGGCTTGTCTTAAAAATAACAATGAAGCATAGACACATAGTCACACTCATCCTTCTGTAACAAATCTTGTTTTCTTGTTCAGATTACTGTAAGCAGCTGTTCTGTCCTTGAAAATTTTTTTCTGCTCCCTTAGAGCACAGTTGTCAATTAAAAGCTGTTGATCTGTGAGTGTGCATGCACATGTGCGCTTCCATAGCCTTCATGTATCCTTTTCCAGTTGCTCTTGGGGGTACACTCACATAAGTGTCCAGCTAGTACTCTGCTGAGAAAAGAAAGTTGTAGATGGATTGACGGTGATGGACAAGCCCGGACTTTGCCTCTAGGCAATGGTCATTTCCTAAAAATTCCAAATATTCATGCCTTGAAGATAGAGAGGTTCAAGTTTGTCAGCTGCTGGTAGCTAATTATTTTGTTAGAATGAGGCTGTACTGAAGTTACATTTCAAAAGCAATGGAACAAGTTTGATCCACTTGTTTTATGAGTGTAACGTGTAACCTTTTCTAGTTACTTCCAAAAGATATTTAAAGATATGTTTAGATATGCTTGGGTAAGAACATTTTGGGTTTTATGCCCTTCTGTTATCAATCCTCCGTTTTCTTTTAAAAACAAATAACAGGAAAAAATCTAAAATGTATTGTGCAGCACAAATGAGTTACATTTTCAACACTGTAATGATTAGCAAAGGCAAAGGGTTACTTTTCTAACATTGTAATGTGTAACAGGAAGACATTATGTTTAAAACTTAACTCCCTAAGCCTTGTAAATAATACTGGGATGTATCAGGGCTACTTCAAGAGAAAATTGGACAACCGGCTGTCAGATCTGCTTTGATTTGGATTCCTGCATTGAGCAGAGGGTTGGACTTGATGGCCTTAGAGGCCCCTTCCAACTCCATTGTTCTACGATTCTGTGATTTTTAAGTGAATCAAAAGACAATAAAATGCCATCATTACAATGCTTTGTTGTAGTTTTAGATCATATTTCTCAGGATATCCATCTTTCACCATTCAGGGATCTGGAATGTTCTTGGGCGCTACACAGGCAATTCTGTGAACTGCTTAGGAATCTTGACATCCTTATTTCCCTCTCCTCTTTTCCTTGCCTATCAGGGGATAATATTTTCAAAGCTACTGCCTCTTTGGGACACAGAGTGAAGCCTTTGTACATGCTCAAGTGTTCCCTTTCCTTGATGGCTGATAAGACTCTAGGGGACTTGCCAAGATGGCAGGTGATGACCGATGGATTCCATCCGTTGGAGGTCAAAACTAGAGCAGGGACAAAAACAGCACCATTCAGAGGAGAGGATTGTGAGCATGGGTGTGGGCTTGGCACCTACTCAACGTGCTGTGCTCTGGCAGGTGGATGGCAACTGGGGGAAGTGGGCACCCTACGGCCAGTGCTCTCGGACCTGCGGCGGAGGCGTCCAGCTGGCGAAGCGGGAATGCAACAACCCACCCCCCGCCAATGAAGGGAAGTACTGCGAAGGCATCCGCGTTAAGTACCGCTCCTGCAGTTTGAACCCGTGCTCTGACACAGGTGAGGCTGCGGAATGGGGCAGGCTTTTCCTTGCAGGCTTCGAGACCCTGAGCGGCCTGGGTCCAATGGCATTGATGTTGCTAAGCAGAGGGCAGGCAGATCCATCTTTTGGATGGGTGGCTGGTTTAGGCATCCTTCAGTCTCAAAAGACTATGGTAACATGCTCTGTATGGAGGACTTGGAACAGCATCTAGTGTGGCTGAGAAGGCCAATTCGAGAGTGACAATCCCTTCCACACTGAAGACCAATACAATCTGTCCCCTGTACAGCTCCCTGATTTTGCTGCTTCCGGGACCGCCTCTTTGCTTCGGCCTGTTGGACAAGGGTCTCTTCAAAATGGGAGAGGCCGTGATGCACCGCCTGCCTCCAGGCTGAACGCTCAGATGTCAGAGTTTCCCATCTGTTGAGGTCCATTCCTAAGGTGGCTAAGACTATGAAGACAGAGCATTATATGTATAAGAGTTGGGAGTGAAATCTGGGGCTTTGTGTCTAGCCAGAATCAGGGGCAGTAATCCCAGCCTTTTATCTTGATGTTCATAGTGAGAGCTGGTATGGTGTAGCACTTACAACGTTGTCCTAGGACTCAGGAGATCTGATTTCTACTCCCCATCATGACACTTGTTGTGCGACCTTGCTACACACTGTTAACTCGATCTCCCTCACACGAATGTTGTAGAGATAAAGAAGGGAAGGGATGCCGTCCCCATCACAACACTTGTTGTGAAACAAGTTAACACACTGTTAACTTGATCTCCCTCAGAGATAAAGAAGTTGTAGAGATAAAGAAGGGAAGGGATGCCTTGAGCACAGCGAAGGAAATAATTATTAGTAATGCAGAAATATAATTGAAGACTAAACAGTAAAGGACACTTCTATTCTATCTGCCCAGATACTACTGAAAGTTGTAATAGATCAAGGCATTCTTTTAGCTGAAAATACTCTGGGGCCATAAGTATTTCCCTAAAAGGAAAGTAATTCAAGCTATGGAATTCATTGCTATCATATTTTGGGGCAGCCTAAGATCTGAGGTGTGGGTACGCAGCAGCACAGAAGCCTGTGCAAGGGTTTTCACTAGGGATGTTGAGGACACTCCAACTAGTGAAATGTGGTTATAACATATAGCATAGGAATATGTTTTTCATTGAAATGACAATCCTTAATAAAACCCTTTTAAGAACTCTTTTCTCTGGTTCCAGCATTCAGGCAGTTGCTCAGGTAGCTGAAACTTGTAGTAGCAAGATGCAACTGATAACGGCATCTTGACATCTTCAGATGATCTAGGTTTGTCAAGCAATGGTGAAGCAGCCATTGAGCTGCTCTGCAGTTCAAGGATGATAATGTGATTCTGTATTTTAAGGCAACTTTGGCATCGCCTTTTGGAGATCTGAAATAACCGTCCTTTCAATACTGGAAGTCACTGCCTCTCAACTTCTCCTTTTTAAAAGAAGGGAACATATTTATGAAATTGAAGAAAAAGGCAGAATAAGAGGGATGCAGCCCTTGGTTCTCCTGCAGTTGCCACCGGATGTACATGATGAGACAACTAGATGGATGTGAATTAGCCCCCTATTCCTGATCTCTCAGGATTTTTTTGTTATTTGGAAAACTGAATGAGTTTGTTTCCTTACAGTCCCAGGAAAGAGCTTTCGAGAAGAACAGTGTGAGGCTTTCAATGGCTACAATCACAGTACCAACCGGCTCACAGCCACCGTCTCTTGGGTACCGAAATACTCTGGCGTGTCGCCTCGGGACAAGTGCAAGCTCATCTGTAGAGCCAATGGGACTGGGTACTTCTACGTCTTGGCCCCAAAGGTGAGCAAAGAGACCGTCGTTTCTTTGGTACTATGGAGGAGAGGAAGTCAGCTGGAAAAGGGAACCTATACAATGGGGGAAATACGTAAATGCTCCCAAGAAATGACACTTTTTAATATACTTCTGTATTGCCATGGACAAAAAGGAGAGGATCCATATAGAATTGATTTCAAAGAGAGACTGACATTTTTTTAGATTAAAATTTGCTTGCTGCATATAAATTTATTAAATAAATTTCCCTTGTGGAAAATCAATAGTGGCTCTCTAGATGATGTTGGACTGCCATTTCTGGCATCTGTTGCCATTGGTTGTGCTGGTTAAGAAGGAAGGGAGCTGTAGTCCATCGACATCTGTATGGCTGGAAGTTGTCCACTATGGAGCTCAGTGAAAAAAAAATGTTGCTGGCTGAACATCCTAGCATTTCTGCCATCTCTGACTCTACCTGGCTCATTATGTGTACACTGTGTCACGCTGACTGCATAATGACAGTAAGAATAATATGCCTTTGCTAGAATTGTCAGTGAAAAATTTATAATGGATTCTAGCATGCATATGTGAAAAGCATCAGTCTTGGCATGGTAGACATCACAGGCCCTCTAGTATCTTGCAGTGGTGGTAAGTGTGCATAGTTTTTCTAGCAATTAAGGACCTGGTGGAATATCCTGGGGTTTTTGAGCCATTGGTGATTCTTACTGCGCTTCAAAGTGGCCATCATGTTCTCAGTGAAAATATCTATGTTAGATTATACAGTTTAGAAATGGAGGTTGCTTAAGAGGTGAAAGACAGATGTTTATCCTAGAACAATGGTTCTTCACCTCTGCTTATTGCAAACAATCTTGTTTTTGGTTCTGTGACTGGAAATCTGGAGTGAACCACAGGCTTCCTTTGCAAGTCTGATTGCTTGGGCATGGAGCTTTGAAGGAACTACGCCAATGGAGGGGGATACTATTGGCTTTTAACTGCGTGCTGATTGCATCCTCTGCTTCTCAGAGATATGGAGAAGGGAATTTCCACAGGCAGCCGTGAAGAACCCTCAGTGAAAACTGAAATCCTCCTGCACACCCCAGGGCAAAACTAGGCTTCCTTTGCAAGTCTGATTGCTCGGGCATGGAGCTTTGAAGGAACTACGCCAATGGAGGGGGATACTATTGGCTTTTAACTGCGTGCTGATTGCATCCTCTGCTTCTCAGAGATATGGAGAAGGGAATTTCCACAGGCAGCCGTGAAGAACCCTCAGTGAAAACTGAAATCCTCCTGCACACCCCAGGGCAAAACAAAAGCACAAGGGGATGTTTGCTACGGTCCTCACCGTCTCGTGTGGAATAAATATTTATTACATTTCTATCCTGCCTTTCCACTAAAAAGCAGCAGTGAAACACAATTAGAAGACAACTAAAAACAATTGAAAGAGCTGTATGTTCATCGCAATAATAAAGTCAATTTAGAAATTTAGAAGGCCATAGCCAAGCCAGTGCTGTCAGCAGATGTGGAAGCGCTTTACCTGTTTGATCAAAATAGCGTCAACCAGTATTCTCTTCGTTCCAGGTTGTGGACGGGACCCCATGCTCCCCAGACTCCACATCTCTGTGTGTCCAAGGAAAATGCATCAAGGCTGGGTGTGATGGGAAACTTGGTTCCAAAAAGAAGTTTGACAAATGTGGAGTGTGTGGAGGAGACAACAAAAGCTGCAAGAAAGTATCTGGCTTGTTCACCAAACCCATGTGAGTCAGTGTCCTTTCTAAATGTTCACCTAAGGTCATTTGAGGGAAGAGGGGCTATAGCCCATTAGGACATCGCCTGCTTCATATTAAGACAATCCATGTTCAATCCATGGGACCTCCAGGAAGGGCTGGGATAAATCTCTGCTGGAAATCTTGGAGGATTTGGTTTTCTGACTGGAAATCTGGGTATTATTTAGATAGAAGGCCCCAAAGACCGGGCTCTATGTAAGGAACTTTTTTTTCAGGATAATAACAGGTGACCTTTCAATCTCAGATCACAGAAAATCTGTCTCAGAGGAACAGGTCAAAGACATTGCTCTGCATTTCTTCTCAGCCTTGCTAGAGAGAAAATGGTTCATGTCACGAAATAATATAATGACCACAATTTAGTCTAGGGTTTGATTTCCCGCTGTGCCTCCTATGAGTAGCCAGCCTGTGTGGCCTTGGGCAAGCTGCACAATCCCAGGGCACCCCAGAAGAAGGGAAAGGTAAACCACTTCTCAGTAGAGATGGGTGCTTCATGCTCCTGACAGCTTTGTATGAAGCTGTCAGCACAGTACTACAGCTGCCACACTGATCTTCTCTCAACCCCTTGAGTCACTTACCTGTTGTCGTGCGTTGCTGGAGTCCTGCTCTCACGGTGTGGAATGGAGATTCTACCCATGCAACCACTGAGTGGTTGGCTGCCTGAGGAGGCAGGGAAGGGCTGGCCGGGCTCCTGCTAAAACAGAAGGAGCCCAGTGACACATGACAACAGATAAGTGGCCCAGCCAGCCCAGAGGATGGGCAGAAGGTCTGCACAGCAGCTGCGGTGCCGTGCCGACAGCTTCATATGTAGTTGTCAGGCATGTGAAGTGCCTGCCTCTACCTCTGAGTATTCTCTACCTGGAAAACCCTGAAAAGGATCACCATAAATCAGAATGGACTTGGAAGGTCATGTTTATTATCATTTAATCCAGGAAGGAAGCATTGCTTCATAACTGGCTCTGGCTTTACGGAGATCGACAGCCAAATATAGAGCCCTTTGTGCCTTCTTTGGGCCCCTTTGGCAGCAGCTAGCAATGACTCTTTTGTTCAATACATTGGGGATTGAGATGTCATGATTTTTTTTTCTTGGAGCAGAGCTGTGCAGACTTGTGTCTTTGGGTGACTATACCCAAGAGACATTCAGGCTGGTCCAAAAAATATAATAAAATCTGGGTTCCCCAAGGCTTCCTACCCCTCAGTGATGTCTCCCCCAAAGGTTTCTATCATGAGATTTTGCTGACTTGTATTGACGTCTTTCTTGCTTTGTTCCTCGCACCTCTAGGCACGGCTACAACTTTGTGGTGCTCATCCCAGCCGGTGCCTCCAGCATTGATATTCGACAGCGAGGTTACAAGGGCATGATCAGTGACGACAACTACCTGGCTGTGAAAAACGGGCATGGCAAATACCTCCTGAATGGGCACTTCATTGTCTCGGCGGTGGAGCGGGACCTCATGGTGAAGGGCAGCGTGTTGCGCTACAGTGGCACAGGGACAGCGGTGGAAAGCCTCCACGCCTTCATGCCCATCCAGGAGCCCTTGACGGTGGAGGTGCTGTCGGTCGGGAAGATGACCCCGCCGCGAGTGCGCTACTCGTTCTACCTGCCCAAAGAGAGTAAAGAAGACAAGTCTCTGTACCGGAAAGATGGGAAGCGCCCGCCGGTCCTCACTAACAGCATCCTCAGCCTCTCCAACCGCTTGGATATGGGCCGGCCGGATTACAAACGCCCTTCGTACAAATGGGCCACCACCAGCTGGGAAGACTGTTCCGTCACCTGTGGCAACGGGCTGCAGAAGCGCATGGTGTTGTGTCGCGACACCCTGGGCCAGCTGGCTTCCTCCTGCGATGCCACCCAGCGGCCCAGTGACATCCGGATATGCGGGGACCCGTGTCCCTCTTGGGAGGCCTCCTCCTGGTCGCCGTGCTCTAAAACCTGTGGCCGGGGGTTTAAGAGGCGCATGCTGAAGTGCGCCGGGCGGGGCGGCGTCCTCTTGCCGCGCGACCAGTGCAACCTCCGAAAGAAGCCCCAGGAGCTGGACTTTTGCACCTTGAGACCCTGCTGAGCGGGCTGGACCCGATTCTGACCAAGGCAATAAGGTGCAGCGTGTTTTGGCGCTCGGCAGTCGAGTGGTTGAAAGTGTAAAAAATAAAAAAAAATTAAAGAAGCCTCCGGGCTGGGGGAGGGAGAGGGAGTTGACTGAGTGGAGGGTGGGGGTCCTGTTACATAGCGCATTTCGAGAAACAAAAGGATTTTAAATGGGCAGAAAGAGAGAGAGAGAGAAAACGAGTGCCTGGGAGAAGGGGTTGAGTCATAGGTTCAAACTATCCCGTTGGTCGGTGGTGGAAGCAGGATGGAACAACTACCTCGAAGCTGCTAAACCACCCCAAACTCCATCACATCTTAGCAGTGCATCCTGTGGGTGTGAAGAAAAGCAAGACCGAAAAATTGCCGTCCACAATGGACCAAAGACAATGGCGACCGTTGCTTCGGATTGTGGGCCCTGATTGTCCTCCAAAAATAAACAGAGTCTGCCTCCTGCTATAGGGTGGGTAGGCCACAACGAATCGCTGTTAGACCAGCAAGAAAAGATGAAAGGCTTCACAACTGGTGCTTCATGGTACCGCCAAAGCCTACCAGCAAGTGACTCCCCAGCCCTGACACATTGCGGGTATCTTGACACACCTTTGTTTGTTCCAGCTTTTGTGCTTTCTCTGCAGGGCTGACAACCAGTCACTGGTCAGTAGCTGCCTTTCCAGTAACATTCATGAACTGGATTGTGTCATTCTGTTTCTTAACGGTGCTTGGCCCTGTTTTCTCCGGAGTCTTCCTGCATCAAAGCAAAGCATTGCTTCGTTGTCATTTTCCCTTGGTTCCTTCCATGAGAACTGTAAAATACTTTGTGGGATGAAGGTACTTGCTATCTTCCATCACCCCATGGGATCTGGAAAGCCCATTTTCTGCTTCTCTTCTGTTCTGCTTGTCCCTTTCTCTCGTTGCTGATTCAAAATCACATGTCTTCAAAAATGTGCTGTTTTGTGTGAGTGTTCCCAGGGGTTATTGTAAGCCAGTGCAAAATATCTGTGAATCTGGACTTCTCTCCATCTTCAGTATTATGGATGACTGATGTACAAAGTCTGGACAACTTTGTATTTGAGTAGGAAAAATCAGAAGATTCAAGTTGATATTCCCATATTGACTCCTTTGCTTTCAGCTGCTTGAATGTTTTGAGGGGAAAAGAATATACCTTTGGGTGTACATTATAGGACCAAGTCAGTTCTTATACTAAGTGTAAGAGAGAAGATGTTTCTTCCACCATGCTTTGGTTTTATTTGTGTGCTTAGTGTGTCTTAAAGTTCTCTGACTTCACTCTTGGTGCTGGAACACGGTGGTTCCTCACAAAGTGTAATGGGTAAATTGCATTGGCAATTTCCACTAATCGATGAGTTACCACTTGCATTGCTTGGTCATGTGACTTGGACTCACTACAGTGAGCAGCGACTCATTAATTGGCGGAAATTTGCCTCTGCAATTTACAGACGTACATTTACACTCGGATCAATCAGCAGTAGGATTCTCTTCATCATGTTTGGCTGTGGAATAGCTACTGTGAGAGTACGTCCTTTGCCAAAATTGAAGAGGCAGAAAATAGCACTTTGAAAACACCTTCCTCAACTGTGGAGGTGGCTAAGACTGGGAGGATTAAGAAGGGCCAAACCATATTGGCCATAAGAAGCTTTTTTGGCTTCGGTTAGTCACCTCCGGATAGTTATACATATGGGATTACTCTTCCCAACTTTGAAGGGCTTTTCTCCTGAGTTGTCTTAAACTAAAATTTGTGTTTGGCAGCTTCAAATCAGCGTGGAATGGTTCCTTCTCAGACGTTGACCACAGCAGGGAGCTTTGACAATTATTGGCCACAAAGTTGTTGTCAGATGCATCCTTGACACGTCCCTTCTCACAAACACCCTGATGTTCAGGTTTGCAGAAGAAAGAAACCGTTGAGTCTAATTTTAGTGGGCTACCATAATACATGGCTGGATTGTGTTTTCTGATCATCCATGGTGAGTCAAATGGCGCCCACCTGTCATAGGTCATGCAGCATTTAACCGAACTAAACTATGAAGAGATAACCACGGCCATCATCTTTCTCCTGAATAAGTTCTTCTAGGAAGTAACATTTTCTCTCTGCCACATGTAGCAAACAGAAGAATTCTTGTTGTCAAAATGGTGCTCATTTTGTGAGTATTTAAGTCTTTGCTGACTGAACGTAGCAACTTCCCATTCTTTCCTTAAATACTAATGCTGAAAACCGAATTGTAAATGAGAGAGATTCTGAATGAGTTTTTGCTGGGCCTGATGTCCTCCTTTGACCTTTAGCACTTAAACCAGTAGATTCCACCCCAATTAGCTTTCCTTTCCACAGATTCCATATCATTGCCTATTCAACCTGATACCTTCACAGTTTTCTCCTCACAGCAGGGATTGTAAATAGAACACGAGAACAAGGGAGGCCTTTGGGATTCCACCCAATCCACTAAAAATGCTCCGACTTATTGGGTTGAGTAGGAAGTTTTGAAGTGACATTTTGTCATGGTTTGACCAAGACATTTGAGGGCTGCTCCCAAACTGCTGGAGGTACTGTTCAGAAAAATAAGGGGTCTGAGGGAATACCCAGCCTGCTTGAGGTTAAGGACCTATTGTGCATTTCCTGTTACTGTGAGGAAGAAAGTTGACGAGGCTCAATAGCGTCAATATTGGTGACCAGTCAGCCTCTCCCCTTGCAACAGAATGCACTAGAGTAGCTTAGTGGAGTGCAGAGCTGGTCACAAGGCACATACACCTCTTTTACATCCTCAGCATCTGTTGCCTGAAGGGCTACCTCACTCTGCCTCATGACAGGGCCGGCACTGCTGCTTACTCCAAACCAAATCTGGGTTTGGTTTGTTTATGCTTCTTACACAGGCCTTCATGTCTTCTTCCGACACCAAATGCACCAAAGAAGTGTGTATGTCTGTATTTGCTGTGTAGTGTCATCACTTAGCTGGGTCATAGTCGTCTGCTTCATGTGACTTGCTTTTCTTCTTCTTGGAAAGCAATGTAATCTTTTGGCTTTCTAGTGAATAATTTGAGGTGAGTAACCCGCTGGCTCCCAAAGCTGGGCCTCTTGTATTTCTTGGATCACAACTCCCCAAAAGCCTGAACCAGCAGAGTCCTGAACCATTTTAGAATCACTGTTCTAACAGAGAAGGTGGAGTTTCCCCACCAAATTATAGCTGACAAAACCATAGGCATGATCCTCCTTTACCACCCTTCCACTGAGAAGCCATGGAAGTGACCTTGTTCATTAGAGAGAGGAGAGCATTGGATTCAGGTTTTGCAATTTCAAATGGGACGTGCCAATCAAACCTACTTTTAGGGAGCAAGAGAACAACCTTGTTAAGTCCCATTGAGCAACTAGGTGTTCCTCTCTGATGCCAATTTAGGTGCCTTATGATGGGTGAGCAAGATGATGACTTGCAGGTGCTATTGGACTTCAGCTCCCACCAGCTTTAGCCGGCAGAACTGATAGTGAGAGATGCTAGAAACTGTTCTCCGTTAACATCCGGAGGACCATAATTTGCCAATCCTAACGTCTCCTTGCATCACACACCTATATTGAGTTTCTGATGGTGTAACTTTTTGCCTGATCATCCATGGTGAGTCAAAATTGCTTCTAGGTGACCAGAAAAAGGGATCTTGGTTCTTTCCGTCATTACAAAGAAGCAATGTACTTACATGCTGGAACACTTTGCCAAAATACAACAGTGAATTGTGTCTTCATTCCAAAGAATCCATGGAACACAACATTGGTGCTGAGGACTCTTAATTAGAGATCCTAGCCTTGCAGAACTATGATTCCCAGGATTCCTTAAGAGGAAAGGGAGTGATCTGCTTTATTTGTAATGCAGATCCAATTATAGGATCTGTGCAGCAATCTCAAACTGACTCACTTCCTTCCCATAAAGTCTATGCTTCCTGGAGGGTTTTCATTGCGTTCCCTGTCCGACCTAGCAATGCATTGGTTGGCTACTGATTTTTGCAGAGCTCTGTCTAAAAGATATTTTAGGATCGAACCTGTTCATTCTCTTAAACTGTAGCGCACTGACATCTTTTTTTTCCTGTTGTGGTGTATTTGGGAAGGGGGGGAGCTCTTGGTTTGTTTTTGTTTTAAAAGTATTGTTCTTTTGCAAGGTATATGGCAAAAGAATGGAACTGCCTATCGTACTGGCTGCTTTGTGTATACCATGTATACTGTATGGTCTCTGTTGTTGGTGTGTCAGTGGCAAACCTGAAATAAAAATGTTAAGTATTTAAGCTGCTTGGTTTATGGCGTGTCCTTTGGGCGGTGTCTCCTGTAATCATACAGGTTTCAGCAAAAATTAGTGACAATATGCATTTGTACATTGGGTTTCCAGTGTTCGAAATGCTTTGCATTCATTTTCCATGGCTTGCAGCCATAATGTATAGGAACAAACACACACCCTTTTCTTAGAAGGGAAATATTCTCCAAAAAGGGTTTGAGGCCTCAAAATGCTACAGGTCATTTTTTTTTTTTTTTGAAATAAAGTTAAATCTTCAACGCCTTCTTTTGGACGTATTGTCCTCTTGCTTCACTTGTGAAAGGGTGTGGCCCCTCTCTTGTTTTCCACACCCTGATGTGAGAAAGCAGGGTTAGAAGGGGCTTTGTATATTATTTATTTCCTTGTTTGTCTTTCGTTTGCTGGCCTGCTTGAACCATTTCTCCTACCCTTTAGCTGAAAAAGTTCCCAGAATGTTGTATATTAGAAGGGCACCCCCCATGTCTGATACTCCTCTGGTTGCAAAGTGATATTTTCTGCTTGTAATCTGAATGGTGCTTTCCTTGTTGGCTTTGAATCTGAACCAGCATTGAGGCCATAAAGCATGGGTTGAATAGCTGTAGTCCAGCATCGCCACCAGTCTTATGCAAAACCCTTGTACTACAGGACAATAATGTAGCACCATGTCACCAAGTGGTTGTATTCTCATCTGAGAAGAACAGGCTGACCAAGTTCAACAGGTAAGGAAATGAAGGCAGCAAGATTTAAACCACAGACATTAGGATACCTACTACGGGGGAGGTATGGGGAATGGATCTTGAATTGATTTGGATCCAGGCATGAATTGAACTGAATGGAACACAGATGCTCCAGATCACTTCAGGAACCATGCCGAAGCCCTAAATTGGCCTACATACCAAAACAGGAGACCTGTGCAGAGCCCTGTGAGGGCTCTTAACAGAATTCAAACTTGAACCAGATTTTTCCTGAGCAAGAAACCACTTTGCCCTGGAACCATAACCCAAACTTGTAGTGATTTGCTCCAGTGCATGGATGCAAGCAGTCCAGAGCGGATATCAGCAGAAAAGATCACTAATCTGCGTCTACCATCTCAGTAGGAGATGTTAACCAAAAAAACACACCTTCCCTCATGACTTCAGAATATGGTAGTGAGACACCCTTGAGGGACCCTTTGTCTCAAGCGGTACAGCTGATGAGGAGGAAAAAAATTTCATGCTTTCTCATTCATCTGGTGTCCAGCAATGAGATGGGCCCATATGACAGGCTCTCTACCCCTTGACGTGAAATCTTTAGATGTTACAAAACGGCATGGGAGGAATCTATGGTTACGGAGATCCCAGGACAGTTCTGAAAAAGCATCATTAAGTATCCACACATGGCGATCCTACTGAGCACAATATTTGCCCACACCCTGTCAGCATTGTTGAACACACTGGGAAGATGACTCAAGCAGTCTCCTGCAATTTCTTTCCCACCACACCCTGGATGACTCAAGCCACTATGGAAGCATTATCAGCACCAGGCTTGAGATAAGGCTTACAGCCCATGTTTTCTTCACACTGTGTATTGTGCTTCCTACCCACAAAAGTAGGCTGTTTCCAAGACACACGTTTTCCTCCCGGTGAAATGTATCTCTTTTCCCCCCCAAAATAATTGAATGTTTGTCATTTGCACATCACACAGGCAGATATGGAGCCCACTCACTTCCAGGCTGGAGAAAGATGTTTGTTTGTGAAAAGAAAGGGAGGAAAATCCTTAACACTCTGCTTTCTCAACCGCTCTGTAGCAAAAGCTTCTCTCTAAAGGACTCATTTAAAGTGATTGCTAGTTTTGCCTTCTACCCAAAGGATCCTGGTTGTGTTTTGTCTCTTGGTGGCAAAACAGCTTTGCAAAGAACACATGCCATCTCTTCTAGGAAAGCATGCAGAAAGTCATTTTGAACCTCAACACTACCAGCAGTGGTCCCCAACCTTGGGCCTCCAGATGTTCTTGGACTTCAACTCCCAGAAATCCTAGCCAACAGAGGTGGTGGTGAAGGTTTCTGGGAATTGTAGTCCAAGAACATCTGGAGGCCCAAGGTTGGGGACCACTGTGTTAAAGTAAGGCTTAATGGACTCCTGAGCAACCCAGACAGGTTATTGGACCCTAATTCCCATCAGGTCACAGAGGTTTGGCCAGTGGTGAAGAATGATGGAAATGGCAGACAATTGGTAGAGCCATATGGTTCTTGCTCTGACATCAGAAGGTAATATGACCAAAATAATATTTGGAGAGCCATTTCTAGCCAGAGCAGAGTGTCGAGAGATTGACGCTGCATGAATGGCCATCCTTGTAACGCAGATGGATATATCTCTATAATACTCTTTCTTGTACTGAAGACAAAGCAGTAATCATTCCCCCGTCTCTGTGTGGATGATCTTTAATGTTGCCAGGTCTCCAGGCACTGACAGAGGTTTCAGTGAGTTGCTTGCTATGCTTCAGTGTGAGTCTCCAGGTAGGGAGATAAATTGGGGTAAGCGAAGCTGGAGATGGTGTGATGGGAATTAAAAGCCCAAGTGTTCCATTCCAAAGATTCCCAATACATGCCAGGGATCACCATGACAAGTTGTTTTTTGTGTGTGTTGCATTTGCTCCATGTCGGTGCACTAATTAGACAGGTGCAAGCAGGAAGGAATTGGGTTCATCATGTCATTTGGAGCAAGGCAGGGAGAAGAACACCAGCATCACACGTTGCGGGCAGAAACCCCAGGCGTAGCAACACAAGATGTGGAAAAACTCCCAGTGAGCGGATTGTGAGCCTTCTGCATAGCCCAGCAGCAGTGCGATGCTTTGGAGTAGGTAAAACCTTTTAGGACATGAACCCTAGTGGGAATGCTAGCTGCTACTTCTGCAGCTGTTGGCTGCATTTTGCCATCTTCTAGGAAGCTGAAAAAAATGCTCCCCCCCCCAATTCTGGTTGGTAGGATCTTATTCAAGTTCTAGGTTAATTTATCCAAATTCTCTTCTCCAAATTGTCTCTGCAGTCAGCTGGCCCAGAAGCCTCTTTGCCTCACCCCATGCCTTGCCTGTCCCATTTCTGTAATACCAGATGGATCCATTTCTGTGACATCACAAGGGCCTGCCCCTCTGACATCCTAAGCATTTCATCCTCAGATGGGCCCCTCAGATCCCAGGGAATGGGTTACTGCTGACCTGGTTTAGCCTAAGACACAGATACAGTAGGTACCGGCATGAGTGTGAAGTGGCTATCATCAGGGTGAGAAGGATACAATGGAGGATCTTAGCGCATCTGTCCCCTTTGGAAAGACCCAAGAGATCTGAAACAGCAAAATCGAACAAGATGCTTGGGTAAGGAAAATCTCATAAGCACCCCCTATATTTGGTGAGCGACGTTCTGTAGGAAAAGATATTACTTTTGGATATTCCAAAGTCAATCCGAATGTAACACACCTTTCTTATTCCTCCATGGAGAAATACTCACTGAAAAATCATATGTCTGGGTGGAACATCAAGGCAGACGATGGAAAGACCAGCGGGCAGAGATTAAATGGCTATGCACTCTTGCCTTCAGATCTCATAGGAAGGACTGCACATGGGTTTTCATGAGCTTGGCTTTTTCCTAATGGGAGAGGAGGGCTGTACATTTTTCAGTATTATTTTCTCCCCCAAATCCAAAGGAACAGAAGAAAATCATGTGGCACCTTAAAGGGGGAGGGTTGTACATTTTTCAGTATTATTTTCTCCCCAAAATCCAAAGAAACAAAACAGAAGAAAAGCATGCGGCACCTGAAAGACTATTATATTTTAATATGAGCTTTCATGGACACATCTACTTCATCAGACATAAAGAAACAGAATGAAATGGAATGAAATGTAGATCAAATATTAATTTCATGTTCTAAATGTTCATTGGCTACCTGCAGACATTTGTCTATGATTGTTTTAGGATCCTGTGTATTACAATGAAACGGGGGTTGTGATTTTTTTGGCACGCACTGTAAATGGCCTGGTACCCTAAAATTATGAGCAAAGCATCCTTCATGAGTTTGGGACGCCCTGTTTGTCTAAATGTGAGTGGAAGGTGGGGAAAGAGAGTTTTCCCGAGGGTACATACTATGGTGGGCAGGTCAATATTCTTTACAGATCTTTCAGATTCAAGGCGTACATCAGTGTATTAAAGAGTGCTGGGCTTATTCATTCATTCATTCATTCATTCATTCATTCATTCATTCATTCAGTCATTCATTCATTCAATTGAATTTATACCCCACCCATCTAGTCAACTGACTACTCTGGGCGGCTAACAGCATATAATATAAACAATTTAAAACATAGAAACAAAGCAATACATCAATAGGCAGTGCTCAAGATGGAAAAAAAGTAAATCAAGTGGTGGCTGCAGGGAAGGCTTACCTAAACATCCAGGTTTTCAATTGGCCTTTGAAAATGCCCAGCAAAGGGGCCATACGGCTCTCAGAAGGGAGGTTATTCCAAAGGCGAGGAGCCACTGCCGAGAAGGCCCGGTTTCTGGTTTTTCTCCTTCTGGGTCTCCCTCAGCATTAGGGTCCTCAACCTCACCTCCTTAGATGCTATCATGAAGTTCACTGAGTGGGCTGTGGCCATAGGCCAATCACAATTCCTCCGTGTGACATATAAAAATGGGAAGCCTTAATCTCATCCCATTAGGCCATGCCCCTTAACCAAACTTGTTGAGGGTTGATGATGTTGTTCACGGTCTCCCTTGTATAACCATGCACAAATTTGGGCTGGAGAGTACCTGGATGGGAGGATAATCTATTTTTTTCTGTTCACAGTACTGCCCAGTATGTTTCTGCCCATGTCTGTCATAGGAAGCTGGACTCTTGACAAGTCTCAGCCAAGGTTATACGGCATCTGATGGGACACCAGTTCCTCACCCCTGTTAGAACAATTTGGGTGGAGAGATGGAGAAATTCAGTCATGCCTACGTACATACATGCCATCGGCAGTTCCTTAGAGAAAGGGTGGGGGGCAAATAAACCACAACATAGCAATATACAGGAAGCCTGGCTCTTCATGGACCTTACGGGTCAAGGAAAAAGGCGATTCCTCTGAGACAGACTGCCCGTAACAGTGACAAGAGTTTATTCTACACATATGGCAGATATGACTCAGCTGTGTGTGGCTTGAGGAAACTGATGGGCTCAATGTGCTGGTGGAACAATGAAAATCATGACTGGCCTGGGTGTGAGGAGTTATTTTGAGGAGCTATTATTGTAAGTGGACAAAGTGGGGTTACCCCATGACTGCTGTTTCCTCTGATTCAAAATCTCCCCACTTGTGGCTAACTTGGGATACTGTTGAGCAGGTGTTTGATATGATGCAATATCGTGTTGTTATTAGTCACAGCTACTGTGTTGTGTCTTGTGACCTTCACATCCATGTCTGGTCCCCCTGAAAGGCAGCATGGGCAACATAACTGCTCTTGCAGAGTTTGGGTTGTCATTCAGTGCCAAATTTTATTTATTTATTTTTACAAATAGGATATTGAGTGGGGCCAGATGGGCTGTAACAGATTTGGGATGCCACAAAAGGGCAGAAAAATGGTAATATCTGATTTTCCCTGCCACTGAGAGCGAGAGAGGGGTCTGGAGAGTTTCCGGCATCCTACCAAACAGTAACACTGGTCCTAAGGGCAGGGTCTGTTTTTCAGCCAAAGAGCCAGACAGTTTGGTGGCTGAACACGGAGACCTTCGTTCCTGAAGTACATAGGGACCCTCATCAACATGCCGCAGCACCTTCAAAAAGTGAATTAGTTTCAGTTAAATTTAACAGTCTCGTTGGTGACAATGGAAGAAGCAGGGTGGGGGAGGAGCGGAGAGGTTGCCCCATGGATCTTTGGTGCAAGCTGCATTCAGACTTTGCGGCCAATACAACACAACACATTTCATTACTATTGTGAAAAATGTTTGCAAGCAAGCAGGGCTGTTGTTCAGTTTGTTACATTTTCCGAATAGAATGCTGATTTTTGCATTAGGGTGTTTACGTACCACTCTTTCCTGCTAAATATGATGACCTGAGGCTTTTGAATAAGTTTGGGACAGAGTAACAAAGAGAAAAGACTACATGCATTGTGTAAAAAAGTTACTTCAGGGTTGCCTGCCTGCCTTCAGAAGGCCCTTTCTGTCTTCTGTAACTCTCTCCTCCTCTCTCTTTCTGGCTCACTGTCCTGCACTTTGCAATCTCTTTGGATGGCGTGAACTTTGCAAACACAATCTGTTTGTCATAAAAAAAGCAGAACCTCTTGTTCTGTTCTTCACTTGCAAGGTCAGAATAACCGCATAGCTTTGCTCCGCTGTTCCGCAGTGACCATATTTCTTGGGCTATATTTCTAACACACACACCCCCCGCGCTTACATTTATTTCCTGAAAGAGTGCTTGAGGAGATCAGAAAGTGAGGGAGAGCCAACCTAGGCATGCATTAAAATCCAATCATCTCACTACATCTCTCTTTAAACTACATTAATCTCTTTAATCTACCTCCCCTGATGCAGAGGATTTCAGCCTGTGCCCTACCATCAGGCAGATTGTCTCAGGCAGCAGATACTGGAGGATGGTGGTTGAATAGGTCACATCCTTTAAAATACTAGATTAGAAGAGGGAAGAACTTAAAGTAAAGCCAAAAATGCTTGAGCGATCAATCGGATGATAAGCTTTCTTGAGGAAATCTTGTATATTTTGGGATGGGCATATCCTTAGCACAGGAACTGGATAAACTATGTGTTTGGGAAATAATAAAGAAGTCTCCATGGTTCACACAAGCCTTGGTCTCTTTGGAGATGTGGCCAAGAAAACTATTAACGATGGCCTGTCCTTGTGGGGTTGGGGAAGGAAATAGCACAACAGGGCCTGGATCAATGCCCAGCCATCCAGCAGGAGCCCCACAGAATTGTGAACATGCTAGGATGGATTGAGAAAGCATAAACTGGGCCCCATTCAGACCAGTCACTTAGATGCTGGAGCCTTCTTCCCGCCTCATACACTGCTCTGTCCTCCACTTTCCCATCCCTTACCATCTCCCCGTCTATTCGCTCTGGAATGTTTAAGTAATCATTCAACATGCAATTTTTACACAACGCTGGAAACTGCCAATTTTTCCTCTTCAGAGAAGGCTGTTTTGTGTTTCAGCATCTCATTTGCTGCTCTTGGGGGCTTTGCTCTGTTGCTGGCTCACAGCGTGAATATTTACATGTGTGTCTTTTAAAGTCTGTTAAAATTAAGTACTAGGCAAGATGCAAGTTTTGGCTTCCTGGCAAAAGAATAGAAAGAGGTTTGTTTGTTTGTTTGTTTGTTTGTTTGTTTGTTTGTTTGTTTGTTTGTTTGTTTGTTTGTTTGTTTGTTTATTTATTTATTTATTTATC